GTTGGACGTCGAGCCCCTTTTTGCCGTGTGCATCATTTGTAAGCCAACTAAGCGTCCTTTAAGGACTATTTTGCGGATGCACTCGACAGAACAATGCCCGCACAGAGCACTTCGATGCGATGCTTCGTCTTCTTCTTGGCTCTCTTGTGCCTTTTGTGTCATGTTTTCAGCCGGCTGTGGCGTCTGCATTTGATTTTCATTTTCAGAATTTTCACAGTTACCTGCCAAAAAAAAAAAAAAAAGTACCACTGAGAGCGAGAGAGAGAGGGAGAGGWATACAAATTGCAACGGCACGCATGCGCAACCTCTGGCCCAGGATACAGAAAACTGACCACTGAACAGAATAGCTATCGAGTTTGTTTTCTTGTTTCTCAGCCTCTTTCCATTGTCTACGGAGCTGTGCAACAAATGTGTGATATTTGTTTGTCTTTTGTGCCTGATCTGGGCAATTGGCTCAAGTCAAGATGCATGCAGCATTTGGCTATTGTTGCCGACTCCTTGTCAGCATTGTCACGCCACGCCGCAGTTGTCAATTAGACACTGGATGCCCTCGGTTGCTAGCCAAAATCCAATTACGAGTGGGCTATTGCCAGCCGCTTGACCAAGCCACCAAGCCAGCTGGCCGGGCCCGAACGGGCCTCAAATATTGTCATGCCTTAAGCTGGCTGGCACGCGTTGCCACAATGCTGCTTCAATTACACCTTGTGCGGGTCTTTCAGCTTGCACCTTTTGTATCTCGAGTAGATGTTGTAATAAGCGCAGATTTCGTCTCTTTCTTATCGTAAGTAGCTGTTGTGATAAGCGCATAATGCATAGGTCGAGGCAGTAAATTCTTCTCTACGTCCTCAAAGATTTTCTTGAGGCAGCTTAGCTCTCTTTGACTTTATAATGTAAATACTTTGGATTCGCTTTATTGAAATTCTAAATATACGAAATTCTCTATGAGATATGCATTAATATATGCTTGAGGTATTCTCTATTATAAATCACAGAATAGCCTTTATACTATTTTTCTCTACAACTGTCAATCCATCTTTTGTTTAATACCGAAATGCTTAATTTTTGACTTAGTCAGTAGGTTTTTTAGATCTAAAGAATTATCTTCAAGGTGAATATTTAAAAAAACAATAAGTCCATTTCCATATTATGTAATGTATTAGAAGGTAATCCCCGTAACTGTCAGCTCGTGCGTCAGAAGTCTACAGAAGTCTTATTGGCTCTACTTTACGGTCTTCTTTTGTTCTCCCTCATAAATATGCTAAAAATATGATTTATTCTATTTTAATAGCATATAAATCTTATTCAAATATTGCCTAGAAATATTGATAATGATGAATTTTATTATAATTAATCTGGATTTTATGAATTATATTATAATTAATATGGGTGAGATCTAAGCTAGATGTTTGAGGAAAGATTGTTGCGTAAGAACTGGCAAATGAGTGTAGAAATTCCAATTCAAAAGCAGAGCTCCAAAGCAGACAATTGGATTGAGTCTTAAGCGAAACATAATAATAAGTCTTGATAGCTTCATGTATATAATTAATATCTCTAATATAAAATCACTATCTTTCTAATAAAATTGTCTTTCTAACATTCATCTATTACAATATCTTTATTATATCTCTAATAATATTTTTATCTATTTTTAAATAACATATAATATCTTCCTAAAACATTCTATGTCCCAAAAGCTGACTCATGGCAATACCCAACATTGCCAATAGCCACATATTAAATTATATGGAATCTAGCCTAAGTGACACTTGGAAGCATATTGAAGACAAATTGTTAATCGTAAAGCCCAACTCAAGAGCATTCAGATGCCAAGTTAATTATAACTTATCGCATAGTTCGCAATTCAGAAACAAGCTGCTTGCTGTTTCTCTCACTCTCTCTCTCTCTCTCTCTCTCTCTCTCTCTCTCTCTATCAATATTATTATTATTATTTTATTTTTTTAGAGGCGTTAACAATTTTTTCGCTTTTTTCAATTTTTGTTTTCAGATAATTTCCTCGTGAATTATTAATGAAAAATCATTAATTGAAATATGTATATTTTATAGTTGCCTTGCACACATTCGACATTTAAGCGCTTCAGTATTTATGCCTCGGCTACAAAAAGTAATACCAGAAAAAAGAACAACGTTTTTAATTGAATATTCATAAGCTGCGCTTTGTGGCGTCATATATACATTTATAGAGAAAGAGAAAGAGAGAGAGAGTTGTRTGTAGAGGGGGGTATCTAGCTACACAACTGGGGCGGGTCAAGATCGATGATGTCAAGTTAGAAAAGGGTCTTAAGCCCGGATCTATTGTTGTCCAGTTGCGGCTTAGAACTGTTGACATATGATTTTGAAGCCGTGTTGTAAGCCCTGCTGCTGCGGCTTTTTCTCTAAGATCTCCCGCTGTGCATATTGACAGTTATTAAAGGCCACGATCGATGCTATAGCAAAGCCAAGCGTTTATTTAGGCTCATGCGCTCATCTGCTTTCGATTTGGTTTATTTTATTCGTCTTTTGGCTTTGCCCATTTACGTGGGCCTAGTACAATTATTGGCTAAGCCGTCGAAGCTTGCCCACAAAATATGTTCGAATTTTGAAATTTTCGATTTTAAATTTATAACACATTTTAGCCTTTTATGCGGCGAACCAATAAGCGTCAGCACCTTGTCTAATTTGCTATGGTAATGAAAATTATGTTTATGGACAAAGCCATGCAAAATACAAAATCCAAAACCGAATTTATATACATATACACACTCATATATATGAAAAAATGTAAAAGATTGCGGGCATAAATCATGATTGCTCGATCTGCCAACTCATGGCTGTCTCTGGTACAATATTTACAATTCTTACAACATTATATTCCATTGAATCCTGTGGGTGGCTCAGCACTTGCGTCAGAGTTCACACAAAGCACACAGCGGGCGGTTGTTAAGATAGAAGATAACTGAGGATGTGACTGACTGGGAAATACCAAGTACTTAGTACTTATCATAATTCTTAAGCTGTGTAGACATTTCGGTAGTCAACATTGGGGTATTATAAAAACAAATATTACTAGCTCTACCTATGGCATTCTAGAATATGTATATGCTATTTCAAGACACTAGCTTCAGTAGATCTCAAGATATGTGAACTACTCTACTGACTTCATATATCATATCATTAATATGCTCATATATCTTTATTACAATCTACTTTCAGCCTAACCAGCTGTAGCCACAACAGTCATACCCTCTCCTCACCCAATTTGCTTGGGTATATTTGAACACAATTTCTATAAAACTTGAGTTACGGCAAATCTTTTGGCTTCAAAATCGATTAAACGCTTCGCAGTCCCAAAAATACAAAAATACAAAAAGACAACAACAACAAATTCAAGTATATACTTTCTGGCCATGTTTTGAATGAACAGATTTGAATTTAAGCGACGTCATGAGCCTGGGCCACAAAAGATTTAGAAATTAAAAACGTTAACTAATGATAAACGCGCCTATGATACGGAGACCCCAACTGCACAGGCTGCCTCTGCAACACAGCCAACCTCTCCCCTGCCACCACTCGATTTGGAGCCACATAATTCGAGTGTGTGGGCTTGGGACATGGTCGTCAATCCGATATACAAAAATCCGTTTGCCATATCGTCGAGCATGTTGCACCCCATGGCGCGATTTGTGTGCTTTTAATATTCACCGACTCGCGCTGCGACTGCGACTGCGGCTGAGGCGGAGACTGCGACTGAGGCGGAGGCTGCGACTGAGGCGGAGGCTGTCGTCTGTCTGTTTTGAAAACTCATCGTTTTCGAAAAGTTATTAGTACGGTTTGTCCAGACAGTTGATGGCTTTGAATAGGCACCATGGGCATTGTTTTTAGATCCACCAAGCCAGCTCCCCCTTGTCCCGGCCTGGGCCCTTACTATATCCATATACAACTAACGCCGCCTGTTGCGTCCCAGCGGGTTTTTAGTTCAATATCTATTCAGCACGTTTTCTAGGTCAATCGAAAGGTTTTTACATGTGCATCAATTAAAACGGCTATAAGCCAAGATCTGTATATATCTAGCGGGAAATGCGTGGGTGTCTATCTATAAACAATGAGCTTGAAAATTAAAAAGCATTTCAGAAAACTCATTTTGGGCTTAGGTTTTATCAATTGTGTAGGGCGGTTGATGAGTCGTTTAGATGAGACTTTCATAATGTCTCTAATATCTTTGAAAATATCTATAAAATATCTATAAAAGCTAGGCAAGAATTGAATGAAGGAGAAATTAAATAAGTGCAAATGTTTGTATTGAATATACCTATAAAGTATAGAAATAAATATATTTATCATATTTATGATTTTTTTATTATCCTATAGAGCTTACAATGTAATTTGATCTGATCAGTTATGCTTGAGTTTCTAAGTTTCTTTTACATGGGAAGCTGACTTGTCCATGATTTCAAAGAATGACCAATTGCAATCTATGCAATCATAGAACCTCTATAACGTGTGTCATTTTAAGAAGTTTAACCTATATAGAAAAACCTTGACTCGGCATCGAAATCATGTCGATCCATTCTTTAAACAAGAATTTAAAATAAATATTGTATCCTTTTAATGTTTTAGCATTGGAAGATAAGATATAATAATGGCAAATGATAATTTTAATTTAGATAAATAGATCAAAGAAAAGTTTCTTATGTGAAACTTCTATATAGCCAGGAATTGAATATATTTAATATTGAACAAAAATTATAAACAGAATTTTACATCGATTTTGAAAGTTTCTTAAGATCCAATCAGTCCAATAAGTATACAGTTCTAAGCCAAGATTTGTGAACCATGTCTAGGGGCTAACTAAATAAACAAAATTATCTGTTATTGTTCATATTTATAGTAAACAACATTCATCTACTAAAAATTATCATCAACTAAAAATCGATTCAGTTGACTCTCAATATTAGAAATTCCTTTCAAACTTCCCTTAAAATTCCTTTAAGCCTAATGCTTACCTTCATTTTAATTGCCTCCACAATTTTGGCGATTTTTAATCCAAGTCTTTTGCACAAAAAATAGTTATTAAGCCAGCTTTTTGCTGTTGTTTTATCAGTATTCTTATAGACGATCTATGCAGATCGAAATGTTTTTGACGACTTGATCAGTTGGTCAAGCGTCCAACAATTGACACCAAATGCATGCGAATTGATTGCATAAGTGATATCGAGACAATAAATGCGAGTGTGCGTGTGTGTGTGTGTATGTGATAATAGATATGAGAATTTTGCAATAATTTATAGCAACACTTTTTGTTTTTGTCGATTAATTAGCACATTTGAAATTTTGAAAAATTGTTCACTGATCTGCGATATTTGTTTTCCTTTAACTATTTTTTTTTTTTACATATTTTATTTAAATTGAATTCAATAATTCTGATGATGTTTTTTGCCGACGCTAAAAATTAGCAGCGGGCTGCTTATCAGACGGCGCGAACGCGTGGCGCGATAACAGACGCCAGTTACGGACTTGGCGATATTGTAATGTAACTCCGGCTCTCAGACGTGTGAGTTGTTATTGTTGTTGCTGCTGTTGTTATTGTTGTTGTTATTGTGGTTGCTGTTGCTGTTGCTGCTAACGGACAACGACCAGCGGCTGCGACGGCTCACGAGCGACACGTTGTTACAGCAGCGAGGCCAGTGCATAAACTGCCGGCGCTCTAGCCTCATAAGCCATGGCACAGCATGGATGTGACGACGACGACGACGACGACGGCGACGACCCGGTTTCGAGAGTGGTAGCAGCATAAAGCAAACACACAAACACAGAGGCACTCACACACACACACACAACCACACGTTGGTAGAGCCACCACCGGTTGCAAAAACTCGCTCAACTGGTTTTTCGGTTTTCGCTTGGCTCTTGATTGGTTGCCATGGCGGCCGCTCAAACGGCCACGCCCCTCACGCTAGCTGAGCACGCGTGGAACGAGTTTCGCCCAACGTCCCCCATTTTGAGTGGAATCATTAAGCGTGAGCCCTGAGCCAATTGAGTGCGCCGGCGCGTGCCATCGCTCTCAAATTGAGTTCGGTTTGAGTTGTATTGAGCAGGTTTTGCTTCTTCTTCTTCACGTTTTTGAGCTTGTGCCGTTGCTGGCCATTGGGTGGGTGCTCTGGATGCTAGATGCTGGCCACGCTTCAATGCAGCGTAGCCGAGCGGAAGCAGAGTTGAGCAGCAGCGGCAGCAGCGCACTTGACTTTTTTGGGGTCAAACCGCTTGACGGCGGCACCCAAAAAAGCCAGCCTTACTATAAGCAGCTAAAGCTGACAGTTCCCCCCTCCAACACATTTTCACATTCAAGTGCGGCGATATGTGCCGGAAGCTGCCAACGAGCAGCGAGTTGGCCATTTAAATTTCAGCATTCGGCGACACACATATGCCAAACCAAGAAATAGGCAAATAAGATGGAACTGCTCTCAATTTTTATGAGAATGAAATGGCAGAGTCTTTTGAGCAGCAACAGCTGCTGCTGTTTAGGTATCTGTCTTATAATTATGAAATATGATTTGTCTAGTAGAAATGCTCATTGATGAGAGCAGTAGCTAATGTGAGTTGTTATACAAACAATTAATTGTTGTTTATGGTAACAAACAGCAGATTCATTCGCCAGTTGAGCTTTAATTGAGAACAAGTCTGTGGACGAGTTGCTTACGATAAAAACTATTGTAAACTACATCTACTTTTACTACTGATTAAGATTTCAATAAAAACCAAGGATTTATTCAAATGCTCACCGAATCGCTGTCCTTTGAAGATGCATAAAATTGTGATTTCCATTCGAATTAATCCAAGATTTATGGGATTCTTTAAAGAGAGGAAACTGTATCTAATCACTTAATCAATATCACATAAATCTATAATAATTGAACTTTAACTAAAATTAAGTATTATATATGTGTATATCACACAGTTATAGTAGTATAGTAATATAGTAGTAGGGATCGAATTGAGAGCATCAATGCGCAGCTTTCTCTGTCTATCGCTCAATAATAAACACAAATTTATATACACATATATTTGGATTTGTCCCACTATACTATATATGTGTTGTATGGCCATATAACTATTGTATACAGATATGTTATATGAGACATGTGTATGTAATTATATATGCATGTTGTGGTATATCGAAACGAAATACCTTCAAAGAAGAACTTGATAATTTTTTCAAGATATATCAAATTTATAAATTATTTTTTAATATTTTTGTATTTGCAATATGTTTGCATAGTTGATTATTAATTTTTAATTCATTTAATTATTTATTTTCATTATTTATTATTTTTTTAAGATGCTTAAAATTTTTTAAATAAAAAAATTTTTTAATAAAAATGTTAAATATAAATAGATGTTTAAAATTTTGCAAATATAGAAACTTTGTAAATTCTGTAAAATTTAATTTTTAGAAATCAACCCTAAGCCCAAAATATTTATATAAATATAGCACCTTCGCAAATGTTTAATGAGCTCCAACAACAGCTTAGCCCAGTTTAACTTATTCTCCTCCTGCTGTTCCCCGTAATTGCAACTATCACTAACACATTAAATAGCTGAGCTCTTTTCAGCCTTTTCCACACATGTTTACTAAATGACAATCGTTGATTTATAGCTACATTTGATTAATATATTACACACCATCGATAGGTAACAACGAGAACAACTGCCACAGCTTCCATTCCATATTCCATTTTCCCGTTTAGTTCATTAAACACTTTTACGTTCACACTTTGGACTTTAATCTCAGCAGCGCCTCAAGCACTTTAAGCACCACTCGCACATTGAGTAGCTCTTTATCTCTCTCTCTCTCTCTCTCTCTATCTGCCTGTCTCATTCTGCCTATCTTACACTCCTGTGCCTGACACTTAAAGCCGCTTCGCATTCAATTGGCATTTTGCTGTCGCCATCATCAGCCTCTGAACTCTGAGCGCCCCTCTCTGGCCACGCCCCCGCCGCATGCGATCCACCTTCACGTTATTTAAGGATTATCATCATTTTATACTGCCTCGCAATGCCTTTTTTGCAGGATTAAATGCTGAATGTCTGACAGCCTTTACCTCTCTCTCTCTCTCCCCCTCCCTCCCTCATCCTCTCTCACTCTTTTTATCGCTCTTTTTGAATTGATTGCATTGCACTTTTTTGCGCAGTTGCTGTTGTTGTTGTTGCTGTTGCATAGTTTGCGCTGCTGCCGCCACGCCTTCATGCAGCTGCCGCCCCCACTCTGCGCCCTTTAGTCCCGACTACAAAGTGATTTTTATGGCTTTTCGCTGCAAGCGAATGCATGTGTGTGTGTGTATGCAAATGTTTGACTACATGCATGCATGCGTGTGTGTGTGTGTGTGCACTTTGATGTATCCGCATTATACAAAAAAAGGCGGCACTTTAATGCTGTCCATATATCACGAGCGCAAAGCTTGACAGCGACGTCAGCTCATAGAAAGCTTTAACACGCATACGCCCCGTGGGGCGCTGCATACATGTAGTTAGAGAGATAGACAGAGAGAGAGAGAGTGGGAGACGGAGGGAGGGAGGTCGGAGACAGTGGCTAGATGTTGTGCGGCTTATCGTACAAATGCTTGGTTTAACCTTTCACTGGCCTCTTATCCTTTGGGCCATCTGCGTGCAAGCCGCACACAAATAACTTCATCTCGGGCCCAAAACCAAATTGATTAACAGTAGCCCCGCGCAGTTGCAGCGCCGCTTGCTCGCTCCCTCTCTCTCTCTCTCTTCCTCTCACTCTTTCTCCGTCTCGTTCGACTGTCAACGCTTCCCGGAATGCCTTCCATTTACATGCCATAATTTTTAAATGTCAACGGTTTACAAAAGCGCTGACCATTTGATTTTGACCGCAACAGCAGCAGCAGCAGCAGCAGCCGCCGTTGCCGGTGCCCTACTCACTCCACTCCACACACTCCCCTCTCCTTCTCACTCTCTTTCTACTGTCTGTTGTCGAAAACAGGTTGATATCTACCTGTGCTGCAATCGAACCCTAAATATACTCATATCCCTTTTTATACACACATTTCTCTTAGACCATATTATATTTATTTGACTCTTTATTGAGCTGCAACCTGTCGCTGCTTGGGTTTTCTGGCCCTCTCTTGGCAGATTTATGGTTGACCCAGAATGTGGTCCGTCGACTCCAACTTGATCGCCCTGGCAAGATACGGTAACGTAACCTTTAACGAAATTTCAAAGTAATTTGTTGAAGAAGAAGAACAAAAATATTGCCTTTGACTTTTGAGCTCTTCTCTTTTGTGGCTCAATCGCGCGTGTTATGAAGACGTCAAGGATCCTGTGAAAGGTTACAATGACCTTATCATATCATCTATAGCGCATATCGGCCATATATTGTCTGCAGTTCGTGTCTCTTCATAAATTCTCCTGCATTTTCTTACCCTAACCCACTACGATGTTTGCATACGCCTATCCACCTTTATCTCTTTGTTTTGTTGTATTATTTCTGTATCTATTTGCCTGACCTGTTTCCATATGCTCAATGCTAACATGTGCCCCCACAGTGGACTTCATAAATGGCCGAGTCGCTCATAGCCTTGAGCGACGTCCAATGCGTTTTCATAAGCAATAAATCATATGAGCAATTGTCCTGTTTACTCAGCCGTAATTTATGAGTTATGCCATAAGTATGCCCCATTACAGTGTCTGGTACTTGCGGTTAAACAGCTTGAAGGTCCTTTAAGGGTTGCTGATGGTTTGATACGTATTTACTGAGCTCCGATTGCCATGGGTAAAACCCGTTTATAGACAACTCCGTTTGCTGTCAAAATTTATTAAGTTTTTAGAGTTGAAAGAGTTTTGCATATGTAGAATATAATAATATTAATAATATAAAATTGCAAGGGGTAGTCTGAAAAATATCTTTAAATATAAATATGACATATTTATATATCTATAAAAAATAATAATTAATTTCATTCTTGAATTTATTCCTTTATTCTTTTAATTTTTGTTTATCTGAATTCTGATATCAAAAAATA